TTCCCACTTTAAGATAAAATATAGCCATAAGGAAGTTCGTGAGCAAAAATGAATATTTTACCACAAGTTTGTTTCGTATTTCCCTAATTGTCCTAAGAAAAATAGCTTTGTTCATGTTGGATTATTAGAAATACTGTTCATGTAAACCTCTAAAATCAAACCTTTTGCAGTCCAAAGCGGCGTTTATATTACTCAGTAGTTTTACATGGGCACACGTCCTACTTTGAACTGTCGTACAGGGCCACTTGATATGATGTGGACTGGGAAATAGGTCCTAACTGGGTAGCCCTTTGTGGACCCTCTCGTATTTGTCCATAGTGAGTGAGTGAGTGAGTTAAAATTTTAAGTCACATCGGCAATATTTCAGCCATATCGTGACTATCAATAGTTAATTATAATACATAGATTGAAACTTATATAAAACTCCTGCCAACGAGGGACAGTAAAATAACTAGACTTATCACAGAAATAAATTTAAAACTAGTAGGTAATCATAAAATCAATAGTACTATACATAACATTACATTATAAAAACAGGCTATAGATCGCCAGCAACTGAAGGTAGACCACCATACTGGGGACCATGGGGACTTACAGTACCTTTGCTACATGCATGGACTATTTCTCCATAGGCTCTAAGTGGGTCTTGAGAGGGCATGTATGTATAGCCTATATGGGACATAGATGGGTTGTGTCTGTGAATGTGTTTTTTCCATGTATGCTTATCATTTGCAACCCTTTAGTGGCATCACTACATATTCACATATACTCACATGTATGTAAAATTTGAGGCATATATTCCACATCTCATGTTTATACGTGCTATATCTCTATAACCCATTCTATTAATACTGCGCAGGTCTCTTTTAAATTATATATAATATGTAACTCTTTTTCGAACAAATATTATGATTAAAATTCAACATTTCAATACTGAGTAATATTTTCTCTTTTCTAATTAAAACGGTCTACTTACAACGGACATCTAATTTTTACCATCGGTTTGGTGAACAATATAGTTGAGTACGAACAAAATGAATAAACTTCAACATATTTTACAAATGAGATCAATGATCATGAATTCAGCATTGTAAATTGGTCAAAATAGATTCTTATATGTAAGTAAAACACCCCGTTCTTCACTCTAATAACACAAACATACATGGTAACATTTGTTTCAGTCAGTACAAAGAACAGATACATGTTTTGGTCGTAATTTGTTTCTTTACCACCATCATTCATGTATATTGTGACCTTTTTGTTATTGTTTTACACTCTAAACTAATACATGCAACTCAGGATATGATTTGGAAATCACCTCGTAACAGTAGGTCTTAACCGTTTGAATAAAGGTTTCTCTGAAAAGGTAACTATCATTTTATACAAACTCAATTCATATATATGATGTAATTATACAGTCTCAGTTCTATTGACTTTCTGTTATCAATATGTCACTGGTTTAATGGTTTGGGTGTGAGCCGTATACATAAGCTGTGTACCGATAACACTAATCTTTCTGGATCTACTTGATCCAAGATCACCGTGTCCCGCATGTAACAGCTGCATGTGACGTATTTTTTGCGAACACCTGGTGTCATCACTGCTTATTAGTCATCCCACCTGCAACATGCAGCTTCTACCCTTGGAACAAAGAATGTAACAAATAAAGACAAACACAAGGTGTACACAGCAAGTCGTTCTGTATGATCAACCATAGAAAGCTAAAATACTACAATTCAATTCTATATTCTCCGACATACTGCAATACCATTCTATATTCTCCAACATACTGCAATATCATTCCTTAATTTCCAACATCAAAAGCCATGATAATACTACTGTCTATATAATATCATCAACTAACTGTTCCACTTTGAAATAGAGCTCTCTGAAACATGACAACATTATCTGCTCAAAAGGTTTATAATATACCGGGTGGGTTTCTCGGCAGGATAAAGCCAACGGATAAATACGATATCCGGTCATATGCGGATAGAGATGCAAATATCAAAAGTCAAGTAGGGACTACTTTCAGTGTCCATAAATAAACATGGCGTCGCCCTTGTCGTTCGGCGATCGAGTCAAAATTAACCATCGGGCATCTGTATAAACTACAGGGATAATTGCTATCATTATCAAAAGAACAGTATAATATACTCAAAATCAGTGTTTAACTGTGACGTAGCTAAGGCATTTTATAAGTTTGGGCAACTTTGGAGATATAAATTGCGAAACAAGTTTGCGAGAGCACCAGGCCTAGCCAAGCGGGATCAGTAGCAATATCTGTGCTTATAGACCTCTACGGCTTGGAACTTTTTCCACAAATTACAACAGTTGGATTTGGCCAAAATATGTTCGAATTGTTACTTTGTTTTGTTTTGTCGCTGTGTATACATCAGACTGCACTTCGTAACGTTATGTCAGGACAGGCCGACTATCAACAACGTCTGACTGTGGCCGTGACGTTTCATAGCCTAGGATTTGAATAGCTTCCCTTTGATAAAGGGCAGTTACTCTATCGGACAGATCACGTAATAACATAAGACGCAATAAATATTAATGCGCGCATTCCAGGAAAACTTGCAATGTTTCGGTAATGTTTGTGAGAGATGGAAAGAGATTGTCGAGCACACACTTGAAGGTGAGGTGAGGTGAAATGGGGTTTAACGTCGCGTCTAAGATTATTGCACTTACATAGCGACGTGCATGCACGTGTGTGTGTGTGTGTGTGTGTGTGTGTGTGTGTGTGTGTGGCTGCCTGTACTAGTCCGGACTAATGACGATTTATGGTGCTAGCACACCGAGATACCATGCCGCAGTATAACATGAAAAACCCACTCAGACACAGTATACTGACTCCGAGCAGATCAGTCCTTGTTTTATCCCCTTAATGCCTAGCGCCACACAGGGTAACAACAAGTACCATCTTTTAACGTCTTTTGGTAAGACGCGACCGGGGATCGAACCCCGTATCTTCCGCTATCCGGGCGAACGCTCTACCTCTAGACCACGGAGGCGGTTAACAGAATTGAAGAATGACATTATATGAGGTTATTACGTTTGTGTGTTTGCGGATGGTAAATATCCTGTATTATGAATAAACACTTTGTATTTAGCTCACCAAGGCTTGCTAAATACAATGTTTATTCCTAGTACAGGATGTTTACCATCTCCAAACACACTCGCGTGATAACCTCTATATATTTATTGATAGTGCATAATCGATTTTTAGATATCAGCGAGATATAAAGAATCTTACCTGAGTGTCTTTTGGCATCAAATAAATGAACAAGAGTTGATAAAAGAGGAAAAACTCCGAGGCTTGCGAGGAGTGACGGACGGATTGCACACGGGTCGCTTCACGCGTGTAAGGGGGATGAACTTCCAGGCAGTGGTATATATATATACTGAACCGCAAAAGAAACGTCTCCATGGATAGATATATGAGAAACCTTATTTGTCCAAACACTGTAAACATACAAAACCTATCATCAAGGTCGAAATTAAAGTGTCAAACGTACTTAAAGTGAAACACAACACTTGTCTCTGAGAAAATGGCATGACAAGTCAGTATCTCGTGTGTCCGCCATGTGCATTGATGACTGCCGTGCAACGTCGATACATGGAATGGATGAGGCGGTTGATGAAGGCCATGGGCACTTGAGCCCACACTCTGAGGAACGCCTGTCGCAGTTCAGCTGCAGTTGTCTGCCTTGGTCGGACGTCATTCAGCCGTTTTTTTAATCTCGCCCCACAGATGCTCAATGGGATTTAAATCGGGACTGAGGGGAGTCCACTGCATGGTTCTGATGCCATTCTGCTGGAGGAAGTCTCTTGTTGCTCTCTCAGTTTTGGCACGGGCGTTATCATGCTGAAACTCGTGGTTGCGGCGACGTGCCAAAATAGGTATGGCGTGTGGTCTCAAAACTTGATCAATGTACCGAGCTGCTGTGACACCATTGCCTCTCCCTGAACCAATGTTCTGGAAGGCCACGGGACCGACCTGCTGTGCAAGACCAATTCAACCCCACGCCATGATGCTCGGACCACCCCACGAGTCTCTCTCAACAACACAAGCATCCGAATAACGTTTCCCACGGCGTTGCCAGACTCTCTGCCATCTGCTGTTGAGATACAGTAAGGGCTCTCGTCTGAGAAGAAGACTTTTCTCAACTGCTGGTGGCGCCAATGCTGGTGCTGTGTTGCCCACTGAAGACGGTCCCGGCGATGACGTGGTGTCAGAATGGGTCCTCAGTGTGGCCTGTGACAGTGGAGGTGTCTGCTCGTCAATCGTCGTCACACGGTGTCCGCACCAATGTGTCGCTGGTGTGTCCCCATGGTCTGTCGAGTAGTTTCCGCGGCAGTAACAAAGCGATCTTGAAGATGCTGTTGCACAGTCAGACGATCCTGACGTCGGGTGGTGACCCTTGATCTTCCACTACGTGGTCGGTCATCTGTAGCGTTGGTGGCATGGTACCGTTGTTGGAGCCTGTATATGGTCCTTACGTGGACTTGCCGGGCGGTTTGTCCAGCTTGCAATCGCCCAAAGGCTTGGTGTCGCTGAGTTCTTGTCAATCTTGGTATGTGGTGGCACTTCAATAAGGAATGAATGTTATCCGATCTGGGTGGATTTTTATAGGGCAAGAAATGGGGGAACTCACGTGCATCGGGTTACCATGGCCGTTGCCGTGATGCGTTTGGGCGATCGGTTTTATTGTCATCTGCTTTGTTTTTTATCGTCAAATTTCATTTTTTTCCGGAGAGGTAATGTTAAACTTTAGAAACTTTGACAAAAAATACTCAGAAATTTAAATGACTTTTCATGCAATGTTACTTTGGGTGACGTTTCTTTTGCGGATATATATATATATATATATATATATATATATATATATATATATATATATATATATATATATATGCGTGTCTGTTCATTATTACATGCTGATTCTATTGCACCATATAAATGTTCTGAAAGTGGATAGCATAATTCTACTTACTCTTCCTTTGTATGGTGCGGGTCTTTCTTATGCGTCAAAGCAGTGTAACGAGGATATCTGCTGAATTCATATGGCATTTTTTTCTTCAGCAATCTGAAAATGATTGTATATCGATATGAAATAAGTATGCAAGTGGTATGATTATGATTTACTTACTGAATTTGCCCTTTGTGAACGACTGGGGCCTACAACTGGTGCCATTAGCACCTGTCGCGTTTGACGTCACTGATATAATTGCAAGATATGTAAAATGATTAACTTCACAAATGCCATGAACAATGCAAACTGATACTTACACAAAGCACCATGTGTTGAATGCATTCTATATGAGCTACTTGTATGTGGTAAAATACATCGTAACGTTTCGTTCTATCCTTGTTATACTATTTGTATGACACTGCATGGTGCTTATCCTCTTCCAGCAATGATACTGTCACAGTACGAGTGGACATTATGGTACTATGGGGGTCTGTCTTTGCTTATATGTATGGGTCTACCTACGTCATCTTACCGCAACGTCGAACCGACATTACTGTTACAATTGAACCGTGGTTAGTTCAGTTATTGAGTTTGATATCTAATCGGGTGATCTATATTCGAAATGTATATACATATATGTATGTTCTTTTAATTTATTTAGACTTGGGCAACCACGTGCAATCCTGGCATGAAAGAACACTGGTTACAGATGTTACAAACGTGTACCTACATGTATGTCATGTCAAATCCATCTGTTCCACTTGGCGCATCTACTTGGGAATATGTCAATAATATCAGGTTTCGAGTTGAAAAGACACACGTTATTACACAAGAGAAAGGAAACGTCCTACCTATTCATATTTTCTCTCTAATCAAAGTCTTAAAACCATCGAGTCAATTCTATATTGTTTACATTAAACTCATCGAAATTGTTTGTCAACTGATCGAAAGATGCAACCACGATCAGATTACCGCTACTGACGCCATGAAACGAACCTTAGTTGTCAGAGAATGGATCTATATATCATAAATGTCATACATTGACTCGTAACGAGTCATATTTGTTGTAGTTTGACTATCATACGTCAACATATTCGCGATCGAAATTGCAAGACCGTCTGATCTTCAACGGTGACACGTCAAAGTGCTACAGACATATAATAAAAGCTTCAAATGAAATAACAATATAATGGAATATGTTATTCCTGGTCAAATATTTATTACAAATACTTTGTCAATCATTGTATCATTCTTTTAAGTTATATTATTGGATTTATTTAGATTGGGACAAAATGTGTGCAGAGCTGATTGATATTTTTCAGGCTTAGTTTCAGAGGCAAATACACACAGGGATGGTAATCTCTGCATGTAAAACAATGTCTAGAATAACCAGAGCTACAACTGAAATGATCAATTAATAAGTCAATTGATGTTTTATGGCAAACGATATTACCCGACCTACATTCCATATTGGGAATAGCGCGCTGAGCAAATACATGATGTAACCATTTCAAATCATACGTAATCGAAACATTTCGAAAGGAATTTAAAAAACGAACGATTTTGTATGAATGAGTGCTGTAGTGTTAACAAAGAAGGGGTACATAGGTGGTGATGTTGAAATTAAATTGTGATATGTCTGTCAACGTAAACATGGTGGCTCAGGTAAGAAAAGTACAGTTAGAGCCATACAGATCCCTAACTGCAAGTATTATGCTCCATTTTTATTAAATTATGCGTGAACTGCCAGTCACTGTTTGAAAAGCCTTACCTGTGAAACAGGTCATCATCTTCACCTCCCCACATGAAGAACAAGTTAGAGTAACCATTGACGGTGGAGAAAAATGTCTCGTTGAAGGTGATCACTCCACCAAAGTGATTATTGTAAAATATCCTGGAAATAAGTGTGTGAGTTATGTTTAACGCAGCTATTATTTCAGTTGTATGACAGTTTGTCAGCATATTGTTGGAGTGAGTGATATGACTTGGACACCTTAAATTGGATTCAAACATTATACCCATGTGGGAAATCGAACACATCGGTCTTAGTCTACCCCAACACATCAAGTAAGATACAAGAACATTTTTCTTTATGAACATTTGACATGTCCTTCCCGGTCAGGCACAAACTATATAGCTCCCGTCACATACTGAAATGAAAGTTTTAATTAAATGCACCAGACACACGAATTAATCACTTAAAGTCGACGAACGCATTATTACTATCAGCTCTCATCTTGGTGCGTTATCAGATAATGGGATTAATGCTATTAACAAACCTTAAATAGGAATTCGATAAATATGTGCAATCCATCATTCAGAAAACTGGAATTGGAACACCTTTGTTTACTCCTACCCTGAAAACTATGCACCACCAGAACTATTTTGAATTTAACAATCTGTAGAGAGGATGGCAAAGGGTTGAGTCTACCTGTATTTCAGTATGTCGAGTCTTTGAGAGTGATGTAAAGCCCTCGCACCACACCAGTAGGTATTCCTCTCACTCTCAGGCACCAAGTCGACATCTTGGAAGGTGAAACAGTCAAAATGACAAAGAGCTTGGGCTTCAACGTAACCAATGTTTTTAATCAATCCTCTGTTAAACGGTGTACCATTTTCCTGAAAAAGAAATATATATTTATCATATAATGGGTAGGTTTCTCGGCAGGATAAAGCCAACAGATAGAAACGATATCCGTTGGGGTCATAGGCGGATAGAGATGCAAATATCAAAGGTCAAGTAGGGACTACTTTCAGTGTTTCAGTCGTCCTTGTCATTCGGCGATCCAATAAGAATTAACCATCGGGAATCTGGAGAAACTACTGGGATACTTGCTATCATTATCAAAAGAACAGTCTAATATACTCAAAATCCGTGTCTAACTGTGACGTAGCTAAGGCATTTTACAAGTTTGGGCAACTTTGGAGATATAAATTTCGAAACAAGTTTGAGAGGGCACCAGGCCTAGCCAAGCGGGATCAGTAGCCATATCTGTGCTTGCAGACCTCTGCGGCTTGGAACCTGTCCACAAATTAAATAGTAGGATTTGGCCAAAATATGTTCGAATTGCTACCTTTTTCGTTTTGTCGCTGTGTGTACATCTGACTGCACTTCGTAACGTTATGTCAGGACAGGCCGACTGTCAACAACGTCTGACCGTAGCCGTGACGTCTCATAGACAAGGGTTAGAGTAGCTTCCCTTTTGACAAAGGGCAGTTACTTTATCGGACAGGGCCAAGGCTCGCTTAATACAATCCATATTCCTAATACAGGATATTTACCATCTCCAAACACACTCGCGTGATATTCTATATATTCTTTGTTTTCTTGTTTTTTCAATCAAGTGAATGAAATGAGCGTCAATTTAATTTACGCAATTGTTATACCATGACACGCATCAACCCGATAAGTTGCTAGGGTTGCTGAAGTACATTTCTAACCGGGATCTTCACGCCATTGGTAATTTATTATGATTCGTCTGTTCCTTTTCATTGAAAGTCAGTCTTGAATGTGCAAGGTGTATATTTAGATTGAATGTATTTCCTTCTTCACCATGTTACTTCACAACCACACACATTGACAACAAAAAGATCAGGGTCATCCAGCCTAATCCCCTGACACCCTTGTAATCTCATAATGTTAAAAAACCCGGAAAAGTGAGACGAGTGAGTGGGTGAGTAGGATTAACCATGCATTTGAACATTATTTCAGTTGTATGACAGTGTGTTCGCTAGCTGTTGTTAGAAGCCCGACGTGACCCAGGTGGATATTCAGAACATTTGCTGAACCCACGGGTATCGTCAGAGAAAGATGTGGACTGTACAAATGGGGTCACTGTATGGCTGAAATACTGCCAATGAGACTTTAAATGTCAACTCACTCACTTTCGCAATTGTGTTGTCCACACAACGGTGAGACTGTCTACTACTAAGCTGTGAGGTGTACTGTCAACACACCTGCTCCACTACAAAGATGGCATATTCCGCCTGTTGTTTCTGGAGCACTCTGTGGAGGTTGTTGAGGAGGATCTTCAGGTTCACCTCTCTGTCTCTGTAGGGAACTATTATGGCAAGTCGCTGTGGAGAGGCACATCCAAGCGGGTGGTGGTATCCCCCGGGGAGAAGTGTCTTGGACGCATTCAAGGTCGCCTCAAGATCAAGCCATGGTAGCGATTCGTTTAGTATTCGTCGTTTCTCACCTGAAGAATAGTACCGATACAATTACTGATATACATATATGCCTAGGAAATGATTATTTTCAAAGATGTCTTATTACACACATATATTCATGGACGCATGCAAGGTCGTCTCGGGGTCACGGGCGGCCCAGTCGTCTAAGGACAGCCTTCAGGGATATAACCCGGCTGTTCGAAGTAGAAGCCAGACCAGACAACATGCAATATGATAAATTTATTTAACGTGCTAACGTGTCCAAAATGCAATCGTTTAATTGAAAATATAGTAACATAAGTGCGCGAACGTATATTTAACATTTCTATCATGCTATTCATGGAGTGGCAGCACCGAGAAAATAAATTTAAACACGTACATGTAGGACCGAAAATACATTTTGAAAACGTAAATCAGCTGTATTCTTTATTACTTTGTGACTTCATGGCACTGTCATTCAGATCGAGCTTTGCTATAGTATGTTAAGCAGCAGTGGGAATCAAAAGCCTCGCTTCGTGAAAACACATCTACTTTCAGATCAATGCAAACTGTTTGAAAGACATCTTAAACATCAAGAACAATATCAGCAGTTTTCTCGAGAAGCGCCTCTATAAAATTTAGATGTGATGTTCCTTCAATTCTTGGTCAAAACTGGTCCCGATGCAATTTCAAGTGCCGACTATACATGGGTCGTGCACATGGCGTAACCAACTGACTCGCTATTTATTGGCGACATGATCGTGGACGTGGACACACTGTTGTCATGTGATCATCCGTCATCAACCTGATCCAATCGAATTGGCGTTCCAGAAACGGCACTTAAGATATTGCCTGCACATACGTAGAAAAAACTCTCGACAAAACATCTTCCTTAATCATTCGACATTTCTGCTAAAAGCAGAGTCCATTGTGCGATTCAGACTATATCATATACATGTGTTTCTGAATCACTATCAATTAGCGATAATACCAATGTTCGCAAAAAGGTGAGCGTATCCTACCTCACAAGAAATTATTTTAAGCTCGATACATTGTTTGTGTGTTCCCTAACGCCGCATTCAGCAATATTCCAGCTAACTCGATATATAGGCCAGGCGAATGCGACAAAACATAATTGGTGATGTAGAACTAAACACACATAAAAGGGTAAAAAGAAAAGGTTCAATGTCCATATATTCCTGCGAAACACTTTTATGGACCATCAAAGCCTTTCTCCTCTGATATTATATCATGTGACACACCTCAAACCTCTGACATGTTCATAAGGTATGGTGTGTATTACTATTCCAGTTACACGGATAAACACTTTTACCGATAGGCACATATCGGTAAATGTAAACGGCGACCATGCTTGTCGTAACTAAGGGGATCAGATGGTCAGGATCGATGTATGTCATCGTATGTAAGCTGCGTGGATCGATGATCATGAAGTCAATCACCGGATTGTTTGGTCCAGACTCGATTATTTACCAACCCCCGTCATTTTGCTGGAATATTGCTGAGTGCGGCGTTAATCAACACACAGCAAACAAACAAGCAAAACATATCCGCAAAGCGGAGATACCTCAGCCAGCATCTATTCGGTACATCTCGCATGGTCATTTGTAAGGCAAACGCCTGCGTTAGTATATTACCAAATACTTGCTATTGTATTGAATAAGTTAATGCTATTTGACATTATAATTTGAAATTAATAATATAGCGCAGTCAGTTAACTCACAGTGGCATCTAAACATACTGGTAATCGAATTTGGTCGTGCCAAAAGAGGATTTTAAAGATCCAACGTGTGATGAAAATGGTAGTCCTTTAAGCTTTAAGACATATAGGGTCTAAAAAGAACTTAGCTGTGAAAACGGTTCAAAAATATTCTTTTGTCAAGCGAATCCTACTTCACAGTTATTTCACTCAACACTTTTGCGAGGTAAAATATGACGATTACAGCTTATTTCTTACTTGAACATTTTAACTGCTCCCGAAAACAAGTAATTGATAGCAAGAGCAACACCCAGTGCGGTCGGAGCATAATGATAAAGAGTCAGCAAGAATATGAATTGTAACCACCCGATTCTGATATCGGCTCTTACAAGCATGGGGTACCGATTACGACAGGGTTCCCGACAGGGTGTTGGGCATCGTAATATGTAATTATTTTAGTTTCATAAATAACATTGCACCTCGGAAAAGGAATTAAGAAAGAAACAAAAAGCCAACTCACTGAGGTTGTTCTGCTGACATGGAACAAGACTTGGTGAATGTACAGGGAAAACACATGACTGCCCAGTTTCTCTTCTCAGTTCTTTCGGTGAAACATTTTCTTCCTTTACAGCAAGGTTGAAGAGTGCTTGTTTGTGTATCCGGGTCTTATGATTGACAATTGGATGGTACGTCAAACATGCATATAACAGTACGCTCACGAAAGTCACCTCCAAGATAAAGAGAAATACGATATCTCTGTTCATTGACATATTAATAATCTTCTTTGGCCAGTAAGTTCCAACCGCCCAACTTGCTTAAAGGTATGCTCAAACTGCGTGAGAACAGATGTTGTTTACAATTGATCCATTTCTATCGATTGTCTGTTATTCAACCCATTGTTGCAGGCATTCTCTTGACACAGTCAGCTCGTCAGTATCGATGTGCCGAGTAAGCTTATGGTATGGCGCTATAAGCCAACGTCCATCGCCTGTTTTCGAATTCTTCTAGGAAGCGGGTGAAGGAATAAACCTGAAACTGCACAACTGCACAATGTTCAGCACTACCGTGAACTCAGATATGTTCATGGGACTTAATCCACATTCGTATTGTTTTGTGGTGTCTATTGGGTAGGGTTTCATGTCTTGCACTAACCACAAGGTCTCGGAAACAGTAGCTGTGGTAAATGAGTAGCAATACAATCAAATTAAAATGTCACAATTTTAGTCCAGCCATATGAATACCTTGTCGTGTGCATTGTGACGTATACGGCAACTAAAGACACCATTACGAACATATTGTGCCGAAAAGTTAACATTATTTGGTATCTTTATCGCACATGTCAGAATGAATGAAGACCTGACACTTACAAACTGTATAAACGACGGGACCAGTACAAATCTTTCCAATACAACGCTTTAATGTAAACATAAACGTGAACAATGGAATATATAACCGCTAATTGTGAAACGTTTATAAAAAGTATTATAGCTAAAAGGGATCGCACAATCATAAAAATGCCCGCATGTTCAAAATCTGCGGGCCAATGTAACTTGATAACAGTCCGCTTTCCCCTTACGACGGGCTGCTGCCTATTCTATTGCTATGTGACGTCATTGATGTCACGTTTTTTGTTTGTGACGTCATCATTTATTATGTTCTATGATGTTGCTATTTGTAAATCGGTTACCTCCGTTGTAAGCTATTTTGCTCTATAATTTTTATTAATAAAGTCACGTTAAAGTCATGAACGTGTTTTTTTTTAAAAGTTAATGTCTTAGTACATCACAATTAATTATATAAAAAGACAAAACAGTGTCGAATGACGAATTTCTGTACCAGAATTGTCATGTGAAATATGTGAGGTGGGTGTTGAAAAATCCAAAATAGCTGTTAGGCTGTTAAAATATTAGGTCAGTGACAACCAGTACCAGGGGTTAGTAATTCTATTCAATTCTGGTCAATCTCACTTTGAGGCATAATAATGAATCATATTGCTTGACTAGAGGCCATTATCATGCCCGTTGTTAGGTGACGTCATATTGATGTTCAATAGTGACGTCATCTGGTTTTCATATTTGTAAAAGTGGGTAAGTGACATTCGTTGTGTGTTTATTAAATAAATGTTTAAAAAACGATATTGTTGTTTATATTTATTTGATAACAAATTCTATCCATTTTAGCTATAATAACTGTAAGGGGCGGTCGGGTAGTCTAGTGGTTAAAGCGTTCGCTCGTCACGCTGAAGACCCGGGTTTGATTCCCGAAATGGGTACACTGTGTGAAGCCCATTTCCGGTGTCACCCGCCGTGATATTTTTGGAATATTGCTAAAAGCGGCGTAAAACCAAACTCACACACTCGCAATAATAACGGTAACGTTATTTTTTCAGGGCATTACTAGTATCATTTGCAGACGCACTCGGTCTTTTCAGCTTATTAATGGAAAACCTCGGGCTTCTGCAAATGATAATGCTCTGAAAAATAGCGTGACCATTGTACTAGTGAGTTAAGGAAAAAATGGTGCAAATGATTATGTATAAAATAAAGAAGAGCAGTTTTGCACGAGCGTTTAGGACAACGATGTTGCAAATAGTGATGCCACTAACAAAATTGGATCTTCTTAAGGTTATTACATTTATAAAATGGCGTGACCTGTATTGAGATGACCTCAGATCTTTGTGTAGCGGCAGCGAGTGAGATCTGCTTGTGATGAGATTTGTAATGTACTGAATGGCATTCCATACCAAACCCTTTCGCGAGTCCACAGCAACAGTCAACTGTCGTAACAATTGCTATATATCAAATTTACAAAGTTTTCGGGGGGATATTTCTCAGGGAAATGAAATCAATGATTAGTCTGAAATGATCCGTCACATAATCTATTTGATAATATCTTCAAATCTAAACATATTAATATTTTAAATACTGGATTCTCTGAAAAGTGTTGGTTTTCATTTTGTTTTGATAAATACATCAGCCTGCAAGAGTCGAGGATTATAGAGAGGTGCTTATTTGATCTGACATGTTTTAACTTGGGAGCCCTTGGTATTGATGCCGTTTATGTAACCATCGCAAAGAAAATATTTAAGGCAAATGTCTCAGCAAAACTGACAAACATTTAAATCAGGAATATTAATATCCGTAACACAATTTAGTTGTAAACACGTTTAGATTATGAACATGTTTGGGTTTTAAACAATTCCAAACATGTTTAGGATATAGACATATGTAGTGATCAGAACACGCTTTATTTATCGGATAAGGAATAAACACGTATCTTACAACATTGTGACCTATTAAAAGTCTTCTGGTGAAATTGCATAAAGTATCTACGGGCCAAGTCAGACCAAACACTTCTGTAGAGTGTGGAGAGGAAAAAACGGCTTCACTTTAACGGACCAGCGATGTACTGTGACACTATAAAGTGGTATTTAGGTCGATATGATACCATCCTATAGACGCAAACACATTTAATTATGCATGTTTGAGGTTTTAGATGATTTTGAGAGCCCGGGCCAAGTAAACACATGTGACAGATTTTCTTGAGAAAATGCAGTAAAAGTGCTTTACTTTAACGGACCAATTTTCTTCACTACGATGTACTGTGATATTATAATGTGGTATTTAGGTATATATAATACCATCATATAGATGTAAACACATTTGATGATACATCTGTGAATTTAAAGTTGATTTTGACAGCCCGGGCCAAGTCGGACCAAACACAAGCAAAACAATTTTGATAGAGACTATGTTGAGAATGAAGAGGGGAAAGGGCTTCACTTTGAGCAACGTGCTTGCTTTAAATAGCACGATCTGTGACACTATAAAGTGGTGTTTAGGTAGATATAATACTAGTCTATAGATGTAAACACATTTGATGATACACCTGTGAGGTTTTAGATGATTTTAATCCATAACACCCAGTCTCCTTTTCTGGACCCACTGAACTCTATCATACTGTGAATAAGGAGGGAACATTTGATATCGGATTACATCGCATTTAGAGGTGGCTTGCTTCCCAAGATGCCTATTCGCTTCTGAGGCCTTTGAGGTATAAGTTCAAGCGGAACAGAGTGGTGGCTACATGTTTGAATGCTCGGTGGCCGGGGATATAGTTTGTTGTTTGTTTGTTGTTTAACGCCGCACTCAGCAATATTCCACCTATCTGACGGCGGTCTGTAAATAATCGAGTCTGGACCAGACAATCCAATGATTGATATCATCAGCATATCCACGCAATTGGGATCGATGACATGCATCAACCAAGTCAGCCAGCCTGACCACCCGATCCCGTTAGTCGTCTTTTACGACAAGCATAGTCTTCGACCCCACATTTATAGGATTCTGGCGTGCCTAAGGGACGCAACTCTGCACAGCGAATTGCGGCGCATTAGACGACGGGGGCACCCGTGCCCCCTCCATCATACGAAGGGTTGCAGAAATGTTTGAAGCCTATATGTGCGTTGATGGAGTTGGTTGCTCATTTTTTTTCAACATAATGCCTTCCAAGGTCCACATACTTCTGCCAAAAGTTGATACCATGCCTAAATCAACTTTAAAGTTGGGAGATATTTGATGACCACGTGGTAGCCAATAATACCTAGTCACGTTGATGCCAGCAGAAATATGCTGCCTGGTTGTCTTTTGGTTCAAATATAACATGTAAGCATGGATACAGTGCACTTAAGACATGAAAACTGTGAAGGATGTACTCACATCATGTCACATCATAGCTTTGCCCAGAATCTTTACGACACCCCTCGCAACATGCTGCGTTGCTGACACAACCTTAAGAAAATTCCTTGATCAATTTACAAAACGTGGTGACCATAGATATAGTAACATATCTATCTTCTGAAGTTCAGGTCAACTTGTCAAAAATGAAAGCAAATGTCCCAAATCTACATAAACAAACAACCATACACCACACACGGTTCCCTAAGTCCCTCCCCACCTTGGCACCTATTCCAAATCTCCAAATCTCCAAATTACAATATAAGCAACCCCTAAAAGCCCCATCCTGGATTGCGCACACCCTTTTGCTCCCCTTTTCGAAACTTCACTAAATGGCCTGGCGGGCCATGTGCGAAATACGCTCTCAGTCGAGTAGTTGGTGGTTTATTGGTGTGTTCGATGGTTTTAGATACGGTTTATTAGACCTGTTTTAATTAGGTATACGCCCAGGGCTCTGAAGTTTAGTGAGTTATTTAATGGGCTTAGGAGTGTCTCTAGAGTTGTTCTATGTGTTTGGTAATGAGTTTTAGTTTAAACATATTTTATTCTCATGAAAAGGACTGGGCACAAGTTATCACAACTTAGAACGCCCTCTCTCATAGATTTACATGTATGCTTATTTACGGTTAATAAATCAAATGACAGAAAGGAAAGGAAAGAGATAGAGAAACGTATGTACATTCACACAGTTCACTGAAACCTTTTTGGTTTCTTTATCACCACTCTGGGGCCGCTCCTGGCTTCTGATTGGTCGGGTTTTTTCTGACGTTATCAGAGGTCACGTGACCTGCGCAGGGCATTGCGGGTCATGGGTGACGTCACGATGACGTTCCGGTGGCGCGTGCGCATCCAAAATGGCGGCACGTCCGTTTCCGAGGGGCCATCTCCCCATCCAAGAGGGCGGCACGGTGATGTCACTGGTCTCATAGGTGATGGTGTTGGTGATAAGCCATGGAGGTGTTTTTTATGATGAAGTAAGACATCACTTCTAGAAATTGTCTTACCACAGTCTGAACACGATGTGGACTCCATGACGTCTTACAAGGCAACTCATCTTTAAAGCATGGCCTTCCTCTTTTATCTATTTATTCTTTACTTGTTTCTTAACTTTTACAACGAACATGTGCACAGACATGACAGACGCACAGACAGACATCGTAGACGACATCTCAACTCAGCTTCTACCCTTGGTTCGACATCCTATTGGAGTTGAGATCAATCAAGAAACAAAGAGTCAGTTCAGTTTATCCCTGTTTAATGATGACACCTAACACACTTCAACTTAGATACAGGGCAAACAATGCAAAACAATACGAAAATTTGCGAACAATGCGAAAAAGTGGATGACAACCTTCGTCATCGTCATCACACAGGTAGCCTGCTCAATGTTGCAACGAGTGCTGCTGTTGCTGCTGCTTCTATTGGTAGGGTGTTGCTACTGCGGCTACTACTGTCGCTCTGTATAGTGCTAAGATGAGTTCTGGTGCTGGTGCTGCTGCTGCTGGTGAGGGTGTTGTCGCTGCTGCGGCTGCTTCTGCTGCTGCGTGGAGTGCGTCGAAGAGTTCTGTTAGTGAGGGTGTTGCTACTGGTGCTTCTGTTGCTGTGGGGGTGGTGGGTGCTGGTGCCACTGGTTTTGGTGTGGGTGCTGTCGATGGGGGTGCTGTGGTGGCTGCCACTGGTTTTGGTGTGGGTGCTGCTGCATCTGAGGTGTCCATCGGTGATGGTGACGGTGGTGATGGTGGTGACGGTGGTGGTGACTGTGCTGAGGTTACTCCTGTTACTACGGCGACGAGTGCTGCTGTTGCTGCTTCTACTGCTGCGGGTGTGTCGGCTGTGGCTGTTGCTGCGCCCAGGATAGTGCTGAGGCGAATTTTTCTGTTGCTGCTGCTTCTCGGGGTGTCCTCTTCGATGCCCTCACAGCTGCCGCACATTGCGTCATCTGTAGTGCATAGATGAATACTTTTAGTGAGGGTGTTGTTGCTGTGTTTGCAGCTGCATCTTCTTCTGCCTGTGTGGTGGCTGCTTCTGCTGCTGCTACGGGCGTTGTTGTTGGTGTTGTCTGCGACGAGTATTGCTGCAGCAATTTTTTTTTGCTCCTTTGAGTATTGATGCTGTGAGTGCTGCTGCTTCAGGTATTGGGGTTGACTTTTCCACGTATAGGTCCATTCTGGGGATGCAGATGCCATACCCCGGAGGCAGAAATGTGTCCACGACGCTCTTTAACTTCTCATGTATGCAGTCATGGGAAGCTTTTACAAGGTACTCGCTCTCATCAGCTCCCAATGTAGAACTAACCGTTCCTTCAGGATGCCCGCCATTGCACGACGGAAATGCTCGCCATTGAGAACGTCCTCGTACTTGTCCACCTTCTTCTTCTTCTGTTTGACGGTGATACGGTAGTAGCCGTTGTCTTCATGCGGTGGTAGTAGCCGGAACATGATGGTGTTGTTGCTTGGACTGTTCTGTGAAAAGTGATGGCCAGAGAACGTTGGTCGTATTTAAAGGAACTGACACCCTGCTTCCTGACTGGTGGAAAGTCCGACCTTCTCATTGATGAAGAACGCAACCTTCTCATTGGTTGGTGTCTGTCCCACACGCCACCCCATGACCCACAATGCCCTGCACAGTTCACGTGACCTCTGATGACGTCATCAGAGGTCACGTGACCAAACCGACCAATCCGAAGCCAGGAGCGGTCCCAGAGTGATGCCACCAACTACTAGCGCACGTTAAATCTCCAATATAGTTAGTTAGAGGAGCGGGGTGTCGCATTCATATTGAGTCGCATTTTTGGCTAGGGGCCAGTGGTCGCATTCTTTTGGAGGCGCATTAATTTCACGATTTACAGTTTTTTAATCTCATTTCTATCCTATGTTTTGATTACAGTTAAAACTAATTGTTAAGTTATGTGAAAGGTATTTGTTATCATGTCAAATATATTTGTCTTCTCGATTTTTTTTATCAAGTTTGACTATATGAGAGCCTCAAAAGTAATTTCAGGGAATATGTCAAACACACTTGATGTTAAATCAGGGAATATGTACAATATCTAAAAAAATTAAGGATTATGTGTATTCCCTGAGTGAATCAGACATTAAATTCCCTGAACATTTCAGGGAATACACATATTCCTTGATTATAAATAATTCCTGTAACATATATATGTATGTACGGGTGTAGGAACATGTATACATATATAAGTTTATATAAGCATGTGTGCAATGTGAGCGTGTGTGCATGTGTGCTCTGTGTGTATGTAATGAGAGAGTGTGTTCGTATGTGTGTATGTAGGGAGAGATAGTATGTGTGTTTGTTGAGAGAGAGAGGGAAATAGTGTGTATGTAGAGAGAGATTGTGTGTGTATGTGTGTGTCATTTTAACATTTCTAATGTTGTTGTGGTTGCAATTACATTATAACTGTACATCATACCCAAACAAACAAAATTCTATCTCTGTGTACTTCTTAGTTAGATACTAGTATTCTGACTAGTGTGAGTTACAAGTTGTAAGCGCAATTGTTATTGGTGATCACTCTTCTCCAGCATAACAAGGTAAACAAACACACAAAATCCAATAAACAATGAGTGAATGTACCTGTTAAATAGTCGCTGAAAGTCTTACTAAGCATGTGCGATCTCAGCGAGAGTGTTATTAAGTATCCCGACAAGTCTTCAACATTTCCGACATACTGATAATCATTAATATTATTTTGCTCATCAGCGCTGATGTTTAAAGTGACTTTCAGTAATCAGCATGTGATATTAATAATTCTAAATAAAATGTTCATCTTCAAACATCAGATCAAACATTTCACGAATCTAATTTACCGTGTGATATTGTTGTTTAACTCAATACTATCGAAGAGTGCATATGTACCTATTTTGGATTTAGGCTTCGGAGCTGCTTTTCCCTGCGTAGGTGGGGCAGATTTCGGTTTTCCAATTTCTGCAATGAAACACACATACCATCATCATCAGAGGAAATTACGTCTGTTTACTTGTAATAATAATTCGAAAATAACAGACGATCACAGATTTACAAAGATGTATCGAGTGGTGGTATTGGACGGATCAGAAACAGGAAGGACTAAACAACCAAGAAGGAGGAGAGACTGTGTAGTGAAAAACTGAACGTTTGAGATAACTTGATCAAAAACAGGTCATGCCCCCACAATTGGCCAAACATTTCGTTATTCGGCGTGGCATGGTCCGAATAACTCTCCCAATGACAATTTGAGAGAATATTGTCCACTTGAGAGAACATTGTGCAACGCCTGGTCCAGTTCGACAAAGCTAGCGGTGGCTTTTCACGCCGGCGTACACTGGCTCATGTCCAGGACAAGCTGACGTATGGGAGAAAGGTCAGGGTTTATTGCTGGCCATTGCATTCTGGTGATGTTTTGCTGCTGGAGGTTGTCAGTTACGTACGTGAATGACAATTGGCCCGCAAACGAGCCAACAATTAGCGCGAGTATGTTCTGTTGGTTTTACTGGCCAGTGATCCTTACTTGAACTCCGTTGGCCTGGCGCATCGATTGTGCATCGATTCAGTTATCAGCCAACGCATGAGAACAGTGATAGAGAGTTAGACTTAACTCCTAAAATTACATATGCCTCCCCCTGTAGTAAAATCATAATGTGCCCTTTTCTTGCAAATGGTGTTTCCAATGAATACAGTTCGTTATCATCTGTGCATTTAAAAAAAATAATTGAGCACCTGTTTATGTTGGAAAAGATAACTGAGCTACCAAACATTAAAAATAATAGTGATCACAAACCATATTACGGTGTCGCTACAAACGCCGTTTGCAACAGTATTTCAGTTACATCACGGAGTATCAGCTTAATGTGAGAGCGACAGTACAGCGAACGAACGTGAATCATTACAAAGGCACGCTATAGTTTAGCGAGTGAAGGTTATGATTTCATGTTTACTTGGTAGATTGGAACTTCCGCAATACATCTGATTATCCATGAAGCTCCTTCCCAGCGCGTGACATCTTCGTTACCATCCCGCTTGTCAAGATCACTGCATAACCATTTAATTTGATTTGACTGTATACATTAAAGTTGGGTTGGACTGAAGAAGAAGAAGAAGAAGAAGTCTTTATTTGTACCAAGGCCACTGGCCCATATACAATACATACATTTGAAATAGTGTGGTACATGAAAAAAGGTAATGTCAGGTACAAATTTACAGGTTTACAGGCTTTTCATAATTACGTCTTCTTTCATAGCTGTAATACAGGTATTTACATAGTTTTCCAAGTAATTGCTTACACGAAGATGACAGTAGCGTTTTAAATTTATGCATATTTGGATTATTGCAAAATGTTGTTGGTAAATACAGATGTCTAATATCGTTGTAATATTCACATTCTAAAGTAAAATGATATTCATTCTCTATACTTGTTTCACATATGGGGCAGAGTCGTAAACGTAAGTCAATATCAGCCCATCTACCTTCGTTTACCTTAAGTCTTAGTAGCCCGGTGTCCCGGTATAAACTCTCCCCCGTACAAATTCTCCCCCCGGAGATTTTATACCGGTACAGATTCTCCCCCGGCGAATCTGTTCTGAAATAAAATCTCCCCCGGGCGGATATATTTCGCGCCCCCCTCAGTATAAAGTCTCCCCCCTGATTATTCGGTTTGTTGCAATGTCTTTAAGTACTATATTCTTTAAATAGTTATCTTTAATGTAAGGAGGGTTACTTTAAAAAATAGATTATGAAATATGGTCATAATGAATTGATATTTCAGAATATTTTATTTGGTAACTGTACCTTCCATCCTAAAATAATTATAAGACATAATCATACCAAACAAAGGATGGGAGACATGAGTCTCTACAGAACTTGTTGTTTCTAATACAGTTGTTGTTGTCTGTATACATTTTTTTAATATACCAGTTTGAGTCTACATGTGAACACAATCGATGGTTGAAATGTTAGTCTAAGAACAAAACATGAACTAATTCTAAAGAACTCTGATGTATAAAGTTACCTTCATCTTTGATTGACTGATGTATTTTCAATCTTTATTCAGCACTGAAGAGGCCACAGGCCTATAGTACGAAGCATTAAGTTTATGAATAAACTGTTATAAAGTATTCATAAAGTATCAGGGGTCATTTCAACTTGCAAAATGATTGACATAGTCCTTTATAGAGCGAGGATTGGGCTGTTTTCTCACCCGATTGACTGACATACAACATTCACATGGTTTAGAATGGTACAATGAATGGTAAAGCATGCAAATTACTCTAATACGCGATATTTCATAAGAAAATATCATATCTCCGTTAAAACATAAAACCAATATTTATGAGTCTACATATTGATATAAGACTTTATCACTGTATCCAATTCCAACATTTTAGATATAAACTTTCGGACAGTTCAGTTCAAAATTCTTCAACCTTTAATACATCACAGGGATTTGTAGCTAGACGACGGGAATCTACAGTCTTGACTGTGTGTGTGTTTTTTTATGAGAATGTTTCTCACCGACCTTAGCGTGTAGGGGTGTGATGTCCTGGGCAGGAAATGACAGTGTTTTGACTACTCGTCTTTCATTAATTAACGTTATGGGCATCCCTAATTAACATTTACTAATTCATGTTAAACCAACACAGGATGTTTTCTGGAAGTGGACAATCGCGAATGTAATAGGGCTGACACGACATGTGTTAATAACTGTCCTAGAACTTCTTAAGTTACTAAACATTCTTTATATCTAACGACTAATATTATATCCACCTATATACCACTTTATTGTCTCATACTGCGGTAGTAAAGAAAACACAGTGCTCAAAGTGAAGCCCTTTTCACTCCACATTCTCAACATCGTCTCTATCAGAAGTGTTTGGCAACTATTGAACTGCATGGCAAGTATTTATAAAACGACCGGACTCCAAGTAAAGAATGATTTGACAAGTCTAGATTGCCTAAGTTCTGGTCCTGAAATCAAGCATCGTTCTGGGATCCATTTGTATTCTATTGAGTAGATTTATAATTTTAACTACGTGAAATTGTATTTCAGGGATGTTGGTTGATTTTAGATGTGGGTATTTATAGATAACAAAAAAATATGAAATATATATTATTTATGATGTTGCTAAGGTATGTGCACGTGTAAAAACTGTAGTTTGCAGTCAACCAAAGAAGATAATCAACACTTCAGATTGTATATTGTTTTGAAATGTCTCGCCTCATGAACACGTTCCTTATTTCAATATTGTATTCAATTCCACCCATGACTGTACACAACATTTATATATTTACATGTATACGACGGCTACATGGGCAAGTATAACGGTAAACACAAACGTGTGTTTGTTTAACATTTTTGTGTGTTGAAACACTGTTATATTAAAGGGAAATATAACCGTTTAGTCTGTTCGGGTAACCATTTCTAGCTATTATTTCCTGAATAAAACATTATCTACTTCAGGCATACACATATTATTTTGTGTCATGTGACACCAGATGTTGTTATCAACCAATACTCATAACGTAAACAACCATAGAAATGTGAAACATCAATAATAGAGAATAACCAAGTTCGATTTTCCAACGAAAAAATTCCTTTTGGCGTGAACGTTGACAATAGCGGTACAAATATATTAATGGATCACTGAAAATCAGTGATGACGCAATTGTTTGCAAAAATCTGTTGCCTCCGATGAATAGATGAAGTAATGCCGAAACAGTAAGCTCTTAGAAGTCTTGTTTGCCAGCTGGGACCATGTCAGTATATCAGGTATGAAATGCATTTACACGTTGAACGCATTGACAGAGAGTATTAGTTATCTTGAACGGTTGGTGAAACCGCGCAAATCGAAACAGTTCATTTATGGTGTAGTATTTCCATTGGCAATTCTAGATCTGGGGGCGAATATATTTCGTGACACCGGAACTACTGATGTAACTGATTTCAGACATCTTATTAATCCTCGCAAACATTCGGTTTTAACACTAACTACGTAAAAACTGTCAACATATCCACGCCGTTATACTCTGATTAAAGATCTAAAATATACCTTAATACAGGCTACCATTTGAAAATGGTATCAGTGTAATACCAGGGGCTAGAATATCATGGTGCAACCAGGTTCCTGTTAAACATACAACATCATAACTATCTAATTCAGCATTGATTAAATCTACTTTAAAATCTACTAAGACTGCGTACGTTTACATGTTTAATCTTTATAAGCAAAGTAACCCAAAATATAGATAATGTGTATCATCTTCCCGAAATGATTAGCATGTAGAATAGATTCAAAAACACCTGTATTGAACAACATCAACCGGCATCGTCAAAGCAAAGTGTACATGTAATTGTTACAATGGGGCTGGCGGTGAATATTAATGAAGAACATCTTGTTAAAAAGACACACCGAAACTGATTTGCATAACTGATGACCACAACATATTGCAAAATATCAAAATAGTAAAAATGATACAGTTTAACCTCACACTGAAGAGAAAACAAGAACGACACAGAAAAGTAAAATAGTACGTCATATAGAACTGAGATAAAGTAATCTGAGAAGGGATTCATACGTAATATACAACTTAAAAATATAATATTATGAAAAACGAAAGGAAAGGTGGGACATCCCCCACCCCCCACCACACACCCCACACCCCACACAAGTAACTAAATGTATAATTCAGAAAAAATAAAGGAGAAAAAAAAAAATGAATAAAAAAACACATAAACAAATTAACATTAAAACTATTGGCAACTGCATGGCAAGTATTTATAAAACGACCGGGGGAGGAAATATTCTGGGGGGAGATTTTATTTCGTAGGGTGGGGGAGAGTTTATTTCGAGAGGGGCGGAACTGTACCGGTATAAATTCGCCGGGGGGAGATTTTATTCTGGGGGCGAATATATTTCGTGACACCGGCTCTAAGCCTTATCAAAACATTTCGATATTTTATTTCAGTAATAATGGCAAGGTATTTTTCTGGTTCCAGGAGACTTTTAAATTCTTTATACAGAATGTACCTAGAACTAGCCTTGATAGTACTATTCCATGATTGGTAGAACATATTTATCAAAACGTTTTTAAAACTATTCATGAATGATGGTTTGTCGCCAACAGCTTGACTGAGCCAAACTACTCCGAATCCGTGAGAAAATAATATGGAACGAATAGAAGAAGCATAGTTATGACGACCACACTTGTCGTTATATACAAGTATATTATAAGATTTTCTTGGTATCCTATCTTCGTCCATTTCAATCAGTTTTAGCCAATACTTTACAGAACGACACATATCATTTACATGTAGTGGGTACCGACCGCATTCCCCATACACAATAGCATTTGGGGTTTGCAAACCAACGTTAAGAAACTTCTTACAAGCCATAATATGCACTTGTTCTATTTTTTCAAATCTGTCTACACCCCATGTTTCCGCACCATATAAAAGAATAGGTTGAATCTGAGTATCAAATATTTTAAAGAAAACTGAAGTGTCAACAAAACCAATCTTCCGTAGATTGCGAAATATTTCCATTAAAGCTCGTTTACCCCTTGACGCTAGATCTGAAACACATTGGTTCATCTTTGATGTATATGAGAATACAAACCCAAGATATCTATAGGAGTTGGCGGTTGAAATACGTTTGCCTTTATAGAACCATTTCTCATGAACAGATAACCGCCCTCCTCGTCTAAATACAACAACACTCGTTTTATCTAAATTAACCGTTAATCCATGTGAATCTGCAAAGTTATCAATAATATTAAGTTGGTTCTGTAAACCAGTTACTGTGTCAGAGACAAGAATAACATCGTCGGCAAACAATAATAATAATATTTCAAACAAGTCAGGAAATAATTGTACGCCGTGTTTCCCATGTGATGAAACATCATTTGACAGTTCATTGATGAAAAAGGAAAATAATAGAGGGCTTAATATACAGCCTTGTTTAACTCCGTTAGGACAATCAAAATATTCTGTATAAATGTTATCATTACATCTCACACACGCTTTCACGGAGGCATAGATTCCCTTAAGTGCTCTCATCATCTTTCCACCCAAGCCTACATCGTGCAGACACTCCCATAGTTTAAGATGATTTACTGAATCAAAGGCTTTTTTAAAATCCACAAAAGCAACGTATAATTTCCCTTTTCTTTTCGATAAACATTTGTTAATAATTGCATTCAACGTGAATATGTGGTCAGCAGGAGAATATCCCTGTCTAAAGCCTGCTTGTGTCTCGGGTAATTTACTTCTTATATTAGCCCAGTTTGTAAGTCTAGAGTTTAAGACACTTGTGTAAACCTTACTAATTGTACACAATAGAGATATCCCTCTAAAGTTATCTGGATTATTTTTGTTACCTTTCTTATGTAGTGGAAGGATAATAGCTTTCGTCCAGTTCTGAGGGAATAATCCAGAATCAAATAACTTATTGAACAAATTTCGTAGGAAAGGAGTTATTACATTTTCACAACATTTTAACATTTCAATGACCACGTCATCAACACCAGGGGATTTGCCATTCTTTAAACGATTTATAGCCTTGTGGATTTCTGAGTCGGTAATCGGCGACTCCAAAATACACTGGTCAATCTCATCAAGTATAAAATCTTCATCACATTGACATTCGACTTCAGCATGTAATACATCTGTACACTGAAAAACGTTTGTAAAATGAACAAACCAGCACTCTTTACTTATGTTATTCTTTGTTTCCCTACGACCTGATATACTCCGTAACTCTTTCCAAAATGTGGTTGAATCAGATAGAGATAGCTTTAGTTTTGTTCGTGTCATAAATTGATAGTTTAATTTTGCTGTTCTGCAAACATGTTTATACTTGTTTCTCATTTTACAAAAGATTAACTTATTTTCGTTAGATTTCTTCTCTTTGAATTTCCTCATGTATCGCCTCGCTTCCCGTTTTGCTCGTCTGCATTCACTGTTATAAAACCCCGTATTTCGGGGTGAACTTTTAACACAAGGTACCTTCATACAGTCAGCGGCACAAAGAACAACATTAACAAATTTTTCGAGGGCAAGATTGAAATCAAAAGTTAAAAGATCGATGAGCTCATTGAAGGATGGACATAGATTTGTTATACTTCCTATAAACACATCACGCTTACGAGGGTTCCATTTATATTTGTGTGTTTTGGTGGAAAGATAATCATCACTTGTAGATGCTTTAGGGAGAAATATGTCCAAATGTAGACATACAGGCATATGTTTTGACTCAACTCTTGTATCCACAAACATGGATTGACAACAATTGTGAACATTAACTGAACCTATAAAATAATCGATTACGCTACATCCTTGATCTGCTATGTAAGTGAAACTACCCTCTTTGTCTCCAGTTGTCCTGCCGTTGAAGATATATAAATCATGAGTGAAACACAGTTCCAGTAGCTTACGACCAAAAGCGTTTACAAAACTATCACATGACTGTCTCTTTTCTACTGGAACGGGTGGTTCATCGGGGAATGCTGCATTGTTGAGGCCACGCTGAGTTAGTGTCTCAGGTGGGTTGTTTCCCCCGCCTAGACGGGCATTCAGGTCCCCACAGATGATGACCTCACAGTCTAAGTCACTATGCTCAATCAACCACTGGTCAACCAATTCAATGGCGGTTGCCTTTTCAGCTGCAACGTAGAATGTTGAGCCGATGGGTGGAACATACATTCCAAATAATAACAGGTTTTTGCCAAGAGTTGAGAAATTATCAAATTTAATGCATACGACATTGTGTATATCTAATTCAATCTGTTGGCAGTGCAGGTCTATACGAGTCTTAACCAACAACGTTACACCGCCTGACAGTCTACCAGCCTTAGCTAGCCTATGAGCTTTTGCAATATATGTGTCATAAGCTGACAGCTGAGGTATGGATAATGCATAGTCAATAAATGTTTCAACTAGACATATAATTTCGAAGCCTTTTATGTAATCTAAAAAGCCTAGATCGTCTATTTTGGAAAGAAAACCTTCAATATTCCATGTAACTATTTTGAGGTTTGATATGGAAATGGAATGTTCTGCACCTGATAATTCAGAAGTGATGGTAGGGGCCGGGCCGTATCCCTAGCTACTGTCCGCGGTAGCACTGTGCTCGGAATTGCTGTTGGGGGCGGAGTGGACAGCTCTTAGAGGTTGGGCATTCCGGGAAACAGGAACAGTAGTGGTTGGTTTAGCATGTACATATCTCCGTGTCGATTCGTGTCTGGATGTGTTGTCATGGGTACCAGGTTTTGTGACCAGTCTACCATTTTTGTAGTAGGCATCTAGGCCTTTGTCCCTCAGATCAGCTAGAGTCTGTCTCTGGTGCTTGGTTAGGTCGTTAGCAACGCCTATAGCAACACTCCTCAAGGTATGTCTGTGCTTCAGTACTATAATCTTCTCCTCCGTCAGAGAAAACTTAGCAATGAGAGGGCGGGGTTTATTGGGTTGCGGCTGTTTGACCCCTATCCGATGCGCCCGTATAATATCTGGGCGTTGCCAATCCTTTGTCTTCACATGCTCATTGAGCATAGTAATAACTTTATCCTTGCACATTTCGAAGGTCTCATCAGCTTCTTCAGGCACGCCATAAAATACTACGTTATCCCGACGACTGAAGGCCTCTAACCTGTCGATATCAGAGTCTTGACTAGATACCTTGTCTTCAAGTTGTTCAACTTTCTGATAGAGTGCATCTATATCACTGTAGATAGTCTCCTGTTCAAGTCCAACCCTTTCTACCTCTGAGCGCACTTCTGAAAGTGAGTTCTCACGTGATGAACACTTGCTGCTAAGGTCGGTTAGTTGTGATTTAATTACACTCATCTCGGTAAACAGAGACTGTCGGAAATCCCGTAGTTCTGCGAGGATATCTGATTTGATCTCAGTCTTTACATTGTTCAAATCTTCCATAGTAACAGGCCCTGGGTTGGTCTCAACATCACCAGAGAGTAGTATATGGAGTCTCGTTACATATCCTGCGATGCGGAGACCGTCACAGTTGAGTAATGAAGTCGCAAAACATGGCCGACATGCATGACTTGTCACAGGGATAAACATAGTGACGTCACATACACTTTCGTGTTCATGTGGTAAATAACGATGAAGATCCTCAACGGCGTTAAAGAGAACTTGTTTGTTAGCTAGCAGAATTGCCGACAGCATGAGGTGGAGTGTAAGCAAGACCATGCAGACTGATACACGCAGCGGTGTATCAGAGCACGACGTGTGAGGTGTGTACTCAGCGTCCATTGCGATATGTCTCACCTATCGGGTCCGTGGAGGGTGGGTAAACTGCCCGATCCTGGCTCTGTAAGTCGCAAGATCGATCATCTTCTCTTCTCCAATCTTTTTAGGTATACCAATCTACTTCATGTACCAACTTTGCATTTTGGAAACAATTTGGTGATCAGTTATTTCATAATTATTTCATCTGCTCCAACGAATGCCAGCCAGCCAGATTCAGGGGAGATAAGTGTGTATATATAAGTGTATATAAGCTGTATGTAAGCTGTAATCTCTGAATGTGTGAGATTGTGTAAATTGTTTTGAGATGGAGTGAAAGGCTTTATTTGTCAGTCATCCATTCCTATACTTTTAACCTCTATTTTGCCTTTTAGGCCTTATGGGATTTGTTTCGGTAGACAATCGAGTATGGTTATTCTCTGGCATTGACGTTTTATATTTGTTTGTGCTGAGTGATAGCGTGGGGTATAAAAGATACTGCGACCCGATTACCAGAGCAGTCATTTGAAAAATCTAACCTATTCGGTTTGGGGTGTTTGAAGGTTTCCCAATTTCGTTGCGTGAGTAATATTTTTATGTAAAAATGGTCATGCTTATTATGTTCTTTTTTATTGAATATCTAATCTTGTGTATTTATGTGTGGTGAGGGTGCTCTCTTGCTTGGCTGTATGTTCAATAACTCATGTAAGTAAACCCGTTCTGAGTATGTGTATTAATGCTCTTGAATGAGAGAGATAGAGCAAATGTAACAAAAGTTAAACGTCCAAGATCTGCATTACTTCGGCCTTTTCTCACACATTAACCTAACACACCGTGATAGACAATGGAACTGAAATACTGTAAACTCACTCTTATTTAATGTACAAAATGGGGTTTTAGGGGGTAGGAAAATAAGAAAAATGTGACAGCTATAAACATGTAATTGCCGTTGACATAAGTACCACTCTATAGAACGTCCTGTTTAGCACAATACAGTAATAACATAACTATACTTCTATAATTGCAGTGATAGGGTCTCTTCAATATCGAAAATGCTTTAAGGCCATTCCAAAAATGAAATAACTCTCATTGAACAACACTGTTCGACATATAGAATTAAATCATGCATTTGTGATTCCATTTCTGTGTTTTACAAACAGTGCTTAAAAATTGGCTAGCAATTAGACATCGTATGTACTGATTAAAAATATTAGACTTCACGTTGGTAAATGTTCAGAGAAACTATTACCTCTGCATGTAGCAGTCAATGGGTACAGCAAAATGATGGCGTTTCATATTTTGACAAATTGCATCTGATGTTTAAAGTGACTTTCAGTAATCAGCATGTGATATTAATAATTCTAAATAAAATGTTCATCTTCAAACATCAGATCAAACATTTCACGAATCTAATTTACCGTGTGATATTGTTGTTTAACTCAATACTATCGAAGAGTGCACATGTACCTACTCTTTGGTTTAGGCTTCGGAGCTGCTTTTCCCTGCGTAGGTGGGGCAGATTTCGGTTTTTCCCATTTCTGCAATGAAACACACATACCATCATCATCAGAGGAAATTACGTCTGTTTACATGTAATAACAATTCGAAAATAACAGACGATTACAGATTTACAAAGATGTATCGAGTGGTGGTATTGGATGGATCAGAAACAGGAAGGACGAGGTGTAACAAGACAATCAACAGAACATGTTTGGCGATGTATTGTGAGGGTGTAAACAACCAAGAAAGAGGAGAGGTGAGATGAGGTGAAATTGGGTTTAATGTCGCGTCCAAGATTATTGCACTTATATAGCGACGTGCATGCACGTGTGTGTGTGTGTGGCTGCTTGTACTAGTCCGGACTGATGCCGATTTATAGTGCTAGCTCACTGAGATACCATGCCGCAGTTTAACATGAATACCCCAATCAGACACAGTACACTGACTCCGAGCCGACCAGTCCTTGTTTTATCTCCTGAAGTACCAACTTTTAACGTCTTTTAGTATGACGCGGCCGGGGATCAAACCCCGGACCTTCCGCTCTCCGGGCGGACGCTCTACCTCTAGACCACGGAGGCGGTCAAAAAGAGGACAGAGTGTGTTGTGAAAAACTGAACGTTTGAGATAACTTGATCAATAACAGGTCATGCCCCCACGATTGGCCAAACATTTCTTTATTCGGCGTGGCATGGTCCGAATAAATCTCCCAATCACAATTTGAGAGAATATTGTCTACTTGAGAGAATATTATGCAGCGCCTGGCCCAGTTCGACAAAGCTAGTTGGTGGTTTTTCACGTCAGCGTACCCTTGATCATGCCCAGGACAAGCTGCCCTATGGGAGAAAGGTCAGGGCTTATTGCTGGCCATTGCATTCTGGTGATGTTTTGCTGCTGGAGGTTGTCAGTCACATACGTGAATGACAAATGGCGCGCAAACGGCATAACTATTAGCGCGAGTATGTTCTGTCGGTTGTACAGGCCAGTGATCCTTACTTGAACTCCGTTGGCCTGGCGCATCGATTGTGCATCGATTCAGTTATCAGCCATCGCATTAGAACAGTGATAGAGAGTTAGACTTAGCTCCTAAAATTACATATGCCTCCCACTGTAGTAAAATCATAATATGCCCTTTTCTTGCAAACGGTGTTTCCAATGAATACAGTTCGTTATCATCTGTGCATTTAAAAAAAATAATTGAGCACCTGTTTTTATCATCCAAAACTGGCTCCCACAGGAGATATCGCTTGGAGTAGATCAAGCGATATCTACACTGAAGATATCGCTGCAATGAAATTACATCACAATGCTTTGCAGACCATTGTGACGTCACTGGTTACCATGACATCACAATCAAATGACATCACTAATGGCTCTGCTACTGAAGCTGTTAGCAGTACTTTTTACACTGAAGACACTGCTAATTGCTGTCTACAATTTGAAAAAGTTGGAAGAATGATGTTGGATGATAAATAAAATCTCACCCTCGTGTCTTTTGATATCAAATATATCAACACGAGTTGATAAAAGTGGAAAAATTCCTCGAAGCCTCGGAACTTTTCCACTTTTATCAACTCGTGTTGATATATTTGATATCAAAAGACACTCGGTGAGATTCTCTATATGTTGGAAAAGATAACTGAGCTACCAAACATTAAAAATAATACTGACCACAAACCATATTACGGTGTCGCTACAAACGCCGTTTGCAACAGTATTTCAGTTACATCACGGAGTATGAGCTTAATGTGAGAGCCACAGTACAGTGAACGAACGTGAATCATTGCAAAGGCACGCGATAGTTTAGCGAGTGAAGGTTATGATCTCATGTTTACTTGGTAGATTGGAACTTCCGCAATACGTCTGATTATCCATGAAGCTCCTTCCCAGCGCGTGACATCTTCGTTACCATCCCGCTTGTCAAGATCACTGCATAACCATTCAATTTGATTTGACTGTATACATAAAAGTTGGGTTGGACCGTATAAAAGCTGTAATCTCTGAATGTGTGAGATTGTGTAAATTGATTTGAGGTGGTGTGTGTGTGTGTGTGTGTGTGTGTGTGTGTGTGTGTGTGTGTGTGTGTGTGTGTGTGTGTGTGTGTGTGTGTGTGTGTGTGTGCGTGCGTGCGTGTGTGTGTGTGTGTGTGTGTGTGTGTGTGTGTGTGGTTGTGTGTGTGTGTGTGTGTGTGTGTCATTTGTCAAGTTGTAAGCGCAATTGTTATTGGTTATTCTTATTATGTTCATGCTCGTTTGTATGTTGAAGAACCGTGTATGTACAATTATTCTGAGTGTGCTCTCTTGCTTGGCTATATGTTCAATAACTCATGTAAGTATACCCGTTCTGAGTATGTGTATTCATGTTCATTGTAAGTTAAATGACTATGTTTACTGAGCAGCATACATTGGATTATATAGTGTTGGGCACCAGAGAGGAGCCAGGACAAGGAAGTGACGACGACCGAAAGACGTAACCAACTGGGATGAGAGAGATAGAGCAGATGTGAGACTTGAGTTGTGAGAGATAGAGATACATCTATGGAAACAGTAATAGCATTACTGTAGTGACTTATTCACCTTGAGGGTGGCTATGACGACGCACATTGTGTACGGTAGATCCGTGAACATTCTGAACAGTGACGTTCTATAATATACCCGTGTGTGGTGTATTATTCAATGAATACGTATTGATCTTCTATGCATTGCTGTATTGATGTTATGATGTTGATGTATTAGTATGGTGATATAATGTGGTAGTATTAGTATGTATTAGTGGAGAGAAGGAGTTTGGTATGAGTATTTGTTCAGTTAATTTTGTTGGGGTAAATCGTTAAGTTTAGTTAATACATTGATTATTTATTCATATCAGCCTTTGTTGTTACTCCCTGTTGCGATCGGTGTGCAAGCGGTCATTACAAGAACATTTATATCTATATTTTTGTGTATGGCTTCGACGATGTCATCCGACTGAATTGGGAAAAGGTTTACGACTGACGTTCTATTTCCTACTTACATTTATGTTTGTTTAATGAGCTTGGTTCGAGATTGCAGACTAAAAAAGATTACAACTACCCGATTACATTCTCATTTAACCAATAACATGACAGAAATGTGACAGAACTTCAAGTTGACAAACAAAACAAATTAGCGGGAGGAAGTGTATTCGGCGTCAGGACAGTCGCCACGTGTTTGTAACCCCTTGAAAATTACCTCCCTTGGAAAGGTTTGGGTACGCACAGTGAGGAGTGACCTTTGACCCCGCTTTGTGCATTAGTTCAGTTGTCGTCCGTTTAACCAGAGACCATATAATAGATTATATGGTCTCTGGTTTAACCAACGGGTATCGTGCTGACGAATTAAAGAACGTTTTCCGAGTGAACCTTGGATTTGTACAGGCTTGATTTGTACAGTTAATGTATTAAACATTAGTATTATCCATCCATTTTTCAGTTGTATAGTTGCAAAGATTTTATAGGAAAGCAATGATCGCGGGCCTTACTAGCTCGAACTCATTTCAGAAGGGAGGACGAGACTATGCCATAAAATATCATCTGTAGAATAATGAAACAGGATAAAAGTTTGCCAAATCAGTATTTATTTTTATAGAATTTGTACCCAACGTGACAAGAGGACTTACTTGAGTGTTTCCAAGCGCATACACGTTCATGCACTATCTCAATAGAGATCGTCACATCCTAGTTTCGCTATCATTTGAATCAACTCTTGGCTAAACAGAGTTACTGGCTGGAGTAAACAAGCAATACAACATCCATCGCCTGACTGAAATTACCGATAAGTACAAATATCCTACAGTTGTCTTACCTCTGACTCAGCAAAGCGAGTTGATAGTAACTGCTCGATTGTTTTATCCGAATTAGATCTATCGGGGACGTTGTTTCTGACGAAAAGGAATATCGCGATAATTCACGAGATCGCGTAACTACATTGAATGTGAGGTCATCAGGTGCACATAACCGACAACGTATTTAGTTTACTGACGTATAACTTGTTTGTCTGGTTTGTTTACAACAAGCCGTCGTATGTCAGAAGTACTGCTGTGCGGCGTCAGGCACTAAACAAACACTTACTTTTTCAGGTAAAGTGTGCGAGTGACGGGTATTACCAGTAGAGCAGGTTATGTTTATCCTTTTTGCGAATACCTGGTGTCATCACTGATCTTCACTGATCCATTCATATAATTTTCGCCGCTATTTTTCCGTTTACGTCCAATTGAATCTGTTTCGGTGAATAATCGCATGCCGTTGGGCCCTACAGTTGACTGTTTGTAAATAAGATTCATCTCTTAGATTATCTGAGACTTGAGCTGAAATAAGTTCAAAGAGATATTCGGGTGCATTAAGGGTATTCATTTTGGAGATAAACCGACTGTGTTTTGAAATTTAATGTAGTCCCACTGTAGAGTTGATACCTCTTATTTTAATTTGGAACCGAGCGCTTTCAAATGTATAAATAAGAGGTATCTACTCTACAGTGGGACTACATCAACCTTCAAAACACAGTAGGTTTATCTCCATTCTACCATGAAGGCAATAACGTTTTTAAAACGGTGATCTCAAAGGTCCACTATCTTTGAACATTCCGAAAAGTGGTCAAAGGCAGTTACATATGTAACAAATATTACTAAAGTTCAACATAAGAATACCTATATTCTTGAGTAGTTCAAAATAAGTGTTCAAAACACATAGTTTTTCACAATGAAGTTGACAAATAACCCTCCAAACTTAATCAAAGGACAAATGTTTTAATATGCCATTTCCATTGTAGGGGTGACAGGTTGTACAAATGCTAAACGAATACATTTTTTTCAACAAACTTTATGAATTAACACCCTACTATTTATTTTACATGTGTACGTCTTATTTGTAAGTTGGCAATTACCCCCAGTAAATAATAAAAAAAATCAAAATAAATGCCTCACCACCCCGAACTTGGATGTGGCAGAACTTGATCTACATAACGGTTATTCACACCTCACAACTGTCAATGGCTGACAATATTGTGTTAACATTCTCCATAAGAAGTTTAGAAGTTACATGAAGCAAGATGACAACCCCGATCTATAATGTGGTTCAACATCAATCTGTAGATTTACTAGGAATGAACCTTCTAGTACAATGTGATTACCAATGGAACTGAGTATGACTGAACAGCCCCTTTTTAGGCTGCAGACGAGCCGGTGTCACGAAATATATTCGCCCCCAGAATAAAATCTCCCCCCGGCGAATTTATACCGGTACAATTCCGCCCCGCCCCTGAAATATCAATTTATTATGACCATATTTCATAATCTATTTTTTAAAGTAACCCTCCTTACATTAAAGATAACTATTTAAAGAATATAGTACTTAAAGACATTGCAACAAACCGAATAATCAGGGGGGAGACTTTATACTGAGGGGGGCGCGAAATATATCCGGCCGGGGGAGATTTTATTTCAGAACAGATTCGCCGGGGGAGAATCTGTACCGGTATAAAATCTCCGGGGGGAGAATTTGTACGGGGGAGAGTTTATACCGGGACACCGGCGATCCAATCTGCGAAACTTCTAGGTTCGATGTGGGTTGGAATACGTGTGGTTTTTCAAAAGACACTAATTCTGATAATTATTTATTACGCTCACAGTTTTTTATCCAATCTAACCTAGACATTGTAGGTGCTGCAGAGACGCATTTAATTGGTGATAATGCACTGAATGTTGATGGATATATATGGTACGGACACAACCGAAAAAATAGACATGCAAAAGCCAAGTGTGGTTCAGGGGCGTTGGTTTTTTCATCAAACGTGAATTTTATGATTGTTTTAGTGTTATTTTTTTATATTCCTCATACGAAGGTATATTGTGGATGGAGTTGACAAATAAGGATAATCATGATATTGTTATTACAATTTGTGTATGTTATTTGCCACCTGAATATTCATCAAGACAAATAGATGTTGTTGATTTTTTTATACACTTTTAATGCAGGTTATTAAATATCAACGGCCTGAGATGACATATATTTGTGGAGATATTAATAATCAATGTTGAGGGCTGTTAGACTGTGTGGAAGGAGTTGATATTTTGCCTAACCGGGAAACAATTGACAGTACTGTTAATAATTGCGGCCATCTCCTAATTGACTTCTAAATTAACATTAATTATTGTATTGTGAATGGAAGATGTGATTCAAGGGACGACTTTGCTTATATAGCATCTAGGGGTGCCTCTGTAGTACTACTGCATATGTCCGCATGCGAAACTGAACAAAATAATTTACTTTAATATGTTTAGGCCAACTGAAATAGGTAACGTAGTGTCAGCCAGGGTGCGGTAGATCAAGCTGTTCTTAAAGTTGATCCTTCGGTGTTAACCTGTACTCTTGATATTAATGTGCCGGTGAAGAAACCAGAATATCGCAACTGTGTATCTGAGAGTAAAATAAGTTGCGACACATCAAATATTCCACAAACTTTCATGTCATCAGAAGAATGCAGCGACACCCTTAACCACATCATAGACACCTTCCCGAGGCAAGAGAGTTAACTGACTACAAAAGTCCAGTTTCCACCCTTGCCGAACTAGGCTAGAATTCCCGGGCTCGATCCTAGCGCCACTATTGGCTTTTACGAGTTATGTCCCTTCTGTGCCTCTCCTCTGGACCAATCAGTTTCCACCTCTCGTTTCTCTTCCATTTGCAAAATGGCGGCGCCCAGTCAAGACGATCTGATTGATAATCAAGATCTATGTTGTGATAAATAGGGTGTTACACTGCAAAGTGCATCAAATCACGCGAGCATCTTGATACAAAACATGAAAAGATTTGGAAAATATTTGTTGACAACGAGTTGGCGGTGGGCATGCTTTGTAAATCCTGCAATCTACCGAAATTTGCACGACGATTTACGAACCGGATTTCGATTTCGTTGCGCGATTGTAATTGGACTATGCATAGACTCGTTAGTCCAGTCAACATTCCATAAAACCAGCCTCTCTCGGCAAGAGCGAAAACTGGACGTTGATGAGTTAACTCTCTCGCCTCGGGAAGATGCATCATAGATGGACTTGGGAATTCTAAGAAGGATCAAGGCGACATTAATGCTGCCTTTAAAGACTTTGATATGTATGTTAAATAGGAAATGATGAGAGCACTACCAACTAAGCGTTTGTCTAATTCACAACAGAGTAATAAGAAGCGATGCAACCGTAAACCCTGGTGGACAGAAGAGTTATCTTCCCTGTGGAACGCAATGTGTTCAGCAGAAAGGGCGTGGTGTCGGTGCAAGGGTCCTCAGAAGGCAAATCACAAAGCAGCGTATGTGAGTGCTAGAAACCATTCGATAAGAAGGTGCAGCGAGTAGATGAAGTACAGCGAGTGATATCAAGTGCGAAACGTAGTAAATCACATGGAATTGACGACATTCCATCTACAGTTCTTAAAAATAAAAACTGTTTACGTTTTTTCAATGAATTATTTAACGCATGTTTCTGTAAGGGCGTAGTCCCTTTAATATGGTGTAAAGGCATCATCTCACCTATCCCGAAGAGATTACTCCTTGGCATAGAGCGGCATCACCCTAGCGAGCGCATGCTATAAGATATACTGTGGAGTACTGAACAATAGACTGACATCATATGTTGTGGAAATGAATGATCCCCTGCACGACAGCCAGAACGGTTTTAGACTGGGTCGATCAACTACAGAATACATATATAGACTCACCTCTATAGTCAAAACAAGGAAAGTCAAAGAAAACCAACGTTTGCTGCTTTCATCGACTTCAGAAAAGCCTACGATTTTAGAGATAGAAGCATTTTATGGGATACGTTGTTGTCATATTTTGATGTTAATGGTTTTATGTTTTGAGCACTTTTATCCATTTACAAAAGTGTTCAGTGCTGTGTGCGGGTGAATGGTTTGTGTACCTCCTGGTTTGATGTGAAATATGGTCTGAAAAGGGGTTATATGTTATCTCCGATGCTTTTTAATAGGTATGTTAATTTCCACATTTCCACAAAACTATCTTTTATAATGGTTATTACTTCTTTCATAACCCAACATCGCTCCCACAGAAAAAACTCATCACTAATACTAAACCCCATACACTCTTATCTGGCCATCTCATACACAAATTTACTCAGATGGATCACAAGACAAAAACAATAAAACAAGGCTTGGTATCCATTAAGACCATACTTACTGCCCTACATTCAGTAAAAACAGTAAAGGAAACAACTTTTTAATCATTTCAGGCTCATTAGGCTCATTAAAACAAATTCAAAACAAGTATTCAAAATCCCGCCCTGACCTAATCAATAATATCATACATCTTACAGCAGAATTGAAACAAACTAATAAATCTATAAGTCTATTATGGATAATCAAACATACCTGGAAACCACATAGCAGACACGGCAGGAAAAATAGCAACCACACATCACTTTTACCATCATATTATTCAAAATTCCAACTCTACGTGGCTTAAAACCTAATTTTATAAACCAGTCGATATATAAATGCCACAATTACAACATTTCGACATTTAAAAAAAATCATATCCCGAATAATAAGTGGCCACACAAATGTTAATTATAACTTATATAAACAAAACCGGCATGATTCTGGTAACTGTATATACACTGCAATAGCCACAAGACATTTATCATGTTTTTAATCACTGTCCTTTATATAGCACCCTTCACTCCAAACTTTACCACTCTACCCCTTCTCACGAAATATCCAGCGCGAACTGTCTTCTACGACGCCCGCGCGCTAAACCTTTACTTAACCATACCACTAAATCAGAACGCCGTTCAACCAGCCAGCTCTTACGGTCAAGGACACCAACATTCGGTCTTTACTCCACTCACACAGACATCTCACCCCAACCCCAACCCCAGCCGGTATAGACTTACGCTAGGCGCTTATTCCCTTTTTCTTCCTTCAGT